TTCTCAAGGTGTTGACCTACATATATTAATATGTAATTGTGTATATGTTGTGTAATTTTCAAATGTTTGTTGTAAATATGTTATTTTGGTTTGATTAGGTGTCTTAAGGAGAACTACTGCACGTATATGCAGGCAGGTTCTGTTCAACCCTACATGTCTCGAGTTTTGGAGGATGTGGTATTTTTTTGCTGGCAAAGATCACACATTTTGCACTTTTGCAACGGAGTCTCGGAATCACCTCCTGCTACTGTATGAGCTCTTCCCAGGTATGGAATTTGGTTTTCTCTAGACTTTGTCCTGGACAAAGGTTGTTTTGCTCTTAAGCTGAGATACTTTATTGGACCCGACGCTCTTCCTCTCCTGAGACACTTAAATAATTTCCAACTCGTCAAAGACATGCTTCTTGGGGACAAATTCAATCTGATGAGTGTTGTCTTTTCACTTTTGAAACGGAGTCTCGGGATCATCTCCTGCTCCTCTGTGAGCTATTTCCAGATGCGGAATTTAGTTTTCTCTAGGCTTTGTCTTCGACAAAGTTTTTTTGCTCCTGGGCTGAACTACTTTCTTGGACCCGACGCTCTTCCTCTCTAGATTCACTTAAATAATTGCCCACTTGTCAAAGACTGGCTTCTTGGAGGCAAATTCTATCTGATGAGTGTTGTCTTTGCACTTTTCCAACGGAGTCTCGGGATCACTTCCTGCTCCTCTGTGAGTTCTTCCCAAGTGTGAAATTTAGTTTTCTCTAGGCTTTGTCCTCGAGTTGTTACGCTCTTGGGCTGAGGTACTTTCTTGTACTCGACACTCTTCCTCTCCAGAGTCACTCAAATACTTGCCCACTCGTCAAAGACTGGCTTCTTGGGGACAGATTCAATACGATGAGTGTTGTCTTTTCACTTTCACAACAGAGTCTCGGGATCAAATCTTGCTCCTTCGTGAGCTCTTCCCATGTGCGGAATTTAGTTTTCTCTAAGCTTTATCCTCGACAAAGGTTGTTTTGCTCTTGGGATGAGTTACTTTCTTGGACCCAACGGTCTTCCTCTCATGCGCCTTCTTTGCTTAGGAAAGTAGCAGCTCAGGTGGTGGTCTATAACTTATGGCGGTAGCGTAGTAACAGTCTCCATAACTCCCTGCAGCTTGCTGCTCAAATCATTTTCAAGATGGTGGATCGTGAGCTGCGCAACATCATCACTTCGAAAAGACAAAAGCTTATGCTTCTTTGGCCTCGTTAGCTATTTCCAAATTTTTCTTTACTCTTTTGTAACCTTGTTTTTATCTTTTTTTTTTTGCCAATGTTGCTTTTGTATAGATATTTCTTTTTTGTAAAGCCTCAAACTTTATTTTATATTATATTTATATGTTTAGAAAAAAATAAGAATTCGGAAACACGGAAACAAAAAAAAAATACATATGCTTAATAACTAATACTCCCTCCGTATTTTAATAATTGTCGTTTTAGAATTTTTATTTTTTTGAATTAGATGTCGTTTTCAAATTTCAATGCAAAAATTTTTACTTTTTAATGTTTTATGATGTCATAAAACATTAAAAAGTAATAAATTTTGCATAGAAATTTGAAAACGACATCCAATTCAAAAAAATAAAATTTCTAAAACGACAATTATTAAAATACGGAGGGAGTATAAGTTTTCGTGATCCTTAACACAAAACGACTCCGCATTCCTGCAACTTTCAGCACACATACGGTTTACTTTTCATTATAATACTAAAAACAAACAATATGTATTAAAAATATGTGTTGTTAAGTTTTTCAAACAATAAGCTGAAAACGAATTAGGGTGTATTTTGAATGCTTTTCAAAATAGTAAAAGTCAAAATATCATTATAATTTTAAAAAGTTCACTTTCAAATATGAAAATATGAATAACATTCTTTCAAATTCAAAGAAACACTCTTATTCTTTCATTTTGAATTTGGAAATAGAGAGAATGTTACGTCAAAAATCAATACAATAAAAACAATAAGAGTCTCTCCAGCAGTGACACCTCAGCTTTTTGGGCTGTTCTGGAAGCGACACATCATTAAAATCTTAATCCAGTCAAAACATTTCAATTAATACACATCATCTCTCCAGCTTGCCACATCAGATTTCCAGCATGCCACATCAGCTTTTTATAAAACAAAAAAAAACACATTATTTAAAAAAAAAACCAATCAAATTGATTCAATCATACACATAATGATTTTAAATTTATTGATATTGATAAATAAATTTCTAATTTGTTTAATAATTCAATATCTACAAAAAACGAAAAAAAAACAATCCTCTATATTTTTTTAAAAGTTATTTGACATCAAATTATTTTTAGAGAAGAACATGCATGAAGTGAATTTAACAAGTAGTTTACGCAGCGTGTTGCTTTTATAAATTAATTTTGTTTTAATTTAAGTTTTTACGGTAAAAATGTAATAGGTTCTTCAGATATTATTTTACATTTGCTCGTATTTTAATTGTTTTTATTTTATTAGGTTATATATGTATACACTAATAAATAATTTTTATATCTTACTTTTACGAAAATATGTACTATGTAGTTAATATTTGTATTTGTTTGTTATTATTTTATGTTTTTGTATATGTTTAACTTTTTACAAATGTTAGATTTGTTTTTATATTGTGATATATGTAAATATGTTTCAGTGAATATTATACTCCAAAAACCTTAGATTATTTCTCTTAAAATTATTTGTGGTACACAAGCACAATTAGAATCGTAGTTTATTCATAAGAGTTTATTATTGCTAAATTGGTTTACGTTTTTTTTTTCAATTTAAGAAATTCACAGCAGTAAAGAACATTACACTCTTAGGATTGTAATCTCACACTTGTTCTATTATCCCGTCTTGTTACTTCAAGATGTATGGTCAAACTTGAATCTCTATGTTCCTCTTATACATGTATCTTGCTTCACTTGATCATCTGCATATAAAGCGCAAAGTTTTGTTCTGTTCAAAATTGAAATCCCTAAAGGGAAAAATGGTCAAATTATTATATGATCTAACCATAGAGATGTATAGCTAAGTGAAGTTTTGCAATTTGGTTTATTTTGGATTTATGCTCTTTTTGTTGTTTGTAAATTTTGGCTGAAATGTCACAAATGTTATTGATTAATTTGGTTATTATTAGTGATCTATTTTATAAGAATATATAATTCAGCATAGCAAAAAGTTGAGAATTAACTCTGTATCTGTAGTTTATGTTTTGAATGAAGGTGATCTCACGCCGACTCAAACGCTTGATCTACTCTATTCATAGAATATTTAATGGTAAATATAAGTTAAGAGAAAGATGGAATTCCCTTAAAATGCTAAGAACATTGGATCGTCATTCAGTAACTGTTTATCTTTGAATATTCTAATTTTAAGTCACGAATCGAATTATATTAACAAATGTTTATGAATTGTTTAGCTTATTCATTTTAAAAACCCATAACAAAGTTTGGTCCATCTTTTTCGATTTCTATATTTTCATGAAATTTTCGTAATTTGTGTTTAATTAGCTTTGTCTAATAATTTTTTCAAGAGAGATTGATGTCTCTTGTGGTCGACAAACTAATTGATTCCAATAGTAAAATCAATGTAAAAAACTTTATTATGTTTGCATGTTTTTTATGTTATCTTATATCCTGGATTTATGTGGACAATTTTATTTGTATTTCTCATAATAGAACAAAGATAAAAAGTTTGTCTTCAAGCTCTTAGACAAGTAAACAAAATTGTAATTATACTGTTTATTTTAAACATATCCTTTCTTTTTTTAGTTTGTTGTTAACAAATCCTGTTTTTTTTTTAATGTAATAATATTACTTTAGTTTTGATTGTTTAAATAAAATAAATTTCAAAAAAATACCCGCAGCGTAGCGCGGGTTTCGACCTAGTGTAAACTAAATTCAAGAACCATAAAACGATCCGACCTAATTGTTCACAATAATGATTAGTGAGCTAAACTAATAATCAAACCTGTACTTTAATGGGTCAAACAATAATCCACAAACAAAAACCTAATCATTACGTTGCAACAAAGATCCATAATATATAAACTGGATATTAAAATAAATATGTAAAAATAAACTTGTCAGCACCAGACGCCTTCAGTCATTTGTTTCTTGATAATCAAGGAATCAAAATAATAATCTATGACTGAATTGAACTGAAAGAACATATTTCGTATGAATTTGGATATTCTATAGTATAAGTTAATAGAAATTTCACCTTTAGTTATATAAATTTAGTTGGTGTCGATTAGTCGGTTGGTACTTGCTTTCTCCCATTCGTATTACACGGGTAGATAAAAATCGTTGACAAATAATACACAACGAAACGTGCTCGTCTCTTTACAGTACACCAACGTGCTCCACCTACACCATCGTGAAAGCTATGGATGGAGAAACCCTACTGTGAGATCCCTTTTGTCTATGGGAGATGGACACTTTGACACACTTTTGCCAACATTTCTTAAAATTGTTTTTATAAAGAAGTCCAATATTACTCACCACTCTCTATCTCAATGACGGTTAAGAACATCCGCTTTGAAACATGCTTCTCGTCTTCCTTCACCAAACCATCTCACGATCGCTCTCTTCTTCATCTTGAAGCCCAAGCCAATATCTCAATGTCTCAAACTTCTTATGTTAACCATCTTCATTACCTTACCTTCCTCCTGATTCAAGCACTTCTTGCAGTCCTGTCTCACTGCCACATCTTCCGCTAGTTGGTACAGTACCAAACAATTACTGTTCTATCTTAGCCATGCATTTCTCGAAGAGCTCCAATGTTCTCCAAGTGTAGTTCATGATCTTCTTTCTTTCTTTTTTTAACCATGCACATACGAATGTTAGTTCTTAGTCAATATACCATCAACAGTCACAACCAAAAACAAAGGATATCCAGATATCAGATATGTCGAAAGTAAATCCAAGTATATGAGTAAATTCCATCTAAAGAGGAAACAGAAACATACCTTTAAATCTCTCTCGGGTCCAGCTAAGAAACTTGATTTATTCAAGTTTGTCGCAGACAAGAGTATTTACAACAACAAAGAGGACACCTTCTCCAATCCAGGATCCAACCTGGAGTAGTTGAAGAACAAAATATATATTTTAGAAACATGCTCACGTAACCTATTTTGCCGCTAAAGTTGCGATCAGTTTCCTCCGCTTCAAATTCTGCCCAAATCTGCAAAAACGAAGGCCAATTTCAAATTAACTATATTAAACATAGAAAACCAAAAAAAAAAGTGCCTAGACATGAACCAACAATAAATTGCTAAAAACCGAGACCAAAGAGATATCAAAACGGGAATAATGGAATAACTTAATGAGATAGGAGTAATAGAATCTCCTCATCCTCCTCCTTCTCCCTGTATATGATGGTGATACTTGCAAGAAGAACCAAATTTACATGTTCCCGTTCCATAAAATGCTGTCCCAAAGAAAGCAATCAAATTAAAGTGAGAATTTTCTACACTAATTACAGTACTGTTGAATCTTCCTTAGAGCAAGAGAACTGTACAAGTGACTCGGTACCTAGTTTGGTATAAGATCTCAGAGATCTGCTTGCATTTACCATCTCAACAACAACAGCTACCTGCATTTTTCTAAAGTTTTGTTTATAGATTCCAAATTACAAGAGAATAAATTTCCCAAATTTACAAGATTTAGCATTGTCACACTCACCATTTCCTTGTACGACGATAAAAGCTTGATTCGATAAGAACTCTGAACATAGAAAGACTTAGTATGTGAGTTAAAACGAAAGAGACTGAGCGCATGAGAATGAAACGAAAGACGAAGATAGTATTGAAATGCAACTTTTCACTTGTTGCTTAGACAGGTTCTTCAAAGCGTTCTTCTTGATGTCAAACATGTCACTCGACACACCAAGCTCCATCATTGGCATATACCTATTGCCATGGAAACACAAAATATTAAGAATCAATCTTCTTACTCAAACACTCCTCAAATCACCAAAGTGAAACCAAATTCCAAAACGATTGCTTTATAGACGTTCTAAAGCAGAGAAAAAAAAAAAAAGTGAGAGCTTCCGAACTAATGAAATCATAGATTCTGTTTCAACGATATCTAATAAACTACTTTTCTCCCATTAACAAAAATACTCCATCAAAATAAAATAAAAACACATAGGAAGCAGATAAAAAGAAAGACAGACACTTTATCAAAGCCAGAGAGAAAGAGAGGGTTGATTACCCACACCGTTCTTAAGTAATATATATACAATCGGTCGTTCGGGATACGATTCACTTCCACCACCGTTTTGAAACCCTAACTGCTACATCCAAGCTACAAACGCCACATTAAAAAAACAAAAACTTTCAATTCCCACATAAACCCTAATCAGACATTAATCGTAAACAAGACAAAGAGTGCCATTAACGTTACCGTTGATGATGGTCTCGTTTTCTAGGGCGGTCCATCCAAGTAATGAATCCGACCGCAAACCATCATCGCCGGTGCCACCGTACCTGAGTGGACGACTTTGAAATCAGACCGATTGTGAGCCGTAATACTTCACGTCTTTCTCTCAACAAACCTGCTTGAGTATGCAAATCCATCCTGCAATCATACGTAAATGTAACAACATTAATATTTTTATCAAAATCGAGCCATAAATAAATTACAGAAGAAAAAAAAACAGGGGTTAGTTGTGATCTAAAAGTGACTACCAAGCAAGGTATTTATATGAAATTAAGAGGCGATGTAATCTACTATACATTTTTGCAACAGTTTTTGGGGTCCCTAATCGGGTCAAAATTTTGACCCGGAAATCTTTTAAATTTGACCCGGAATAATGACTCTCGGATCTTGCCTAATTTGAGATTTTGACCCGAAATCTCTCAATCGAATCCTACCATATTTGATGCTCCCTACATTCAAGGCAAAAAGCATTTAGTTTCTCATAATTGAAAGATATGGAGGATATATATAGTTATAACAAATTGATTTCGTAAGGCAAATTGTTTCCTATTTTAATGCTACATTTATCATTTGTTTCCTACATATATTTCGATATTCATTTCACCTTATCGAAAAGGAAATTGCTTCATAACCAAAAGATTTTATCCTAATTTGTTTAAGCATCAACCTAGCATATTCTCTGTATTTCCCAATTTAAAGATCTCGAATTATACGAAATGCTTGGTCATCAAGATTTTTAAATATTCTCTAAACCCTATAACATACTAACTATCCAAACTCTATAAATAGTCGTTCATTTCCACTCTCTAAACACATTCTTTCTCATTATATGTCAGGTCCTGAAGAGTAGTAACAACGGAGTCAATGTTTGATCATAAACTCACCACAAAAAAGCGACTGCCTTCTCCAAACCTTTGTTGTGTGGACGGTTTAGCTCTTCCTTGAACCTGATAGATCCATTGGGACCTCCGGTTTTCTTCTTGGCATCATAGGTTCCTGCATCATGCCATCTATATGCACACAATAATTTGCATTTGGAAAGATTAAGACAAGAAAGGAAAACGGAGAATGATTCTGAGAGCAAAGATCTTACGGAGCATAATGGGAGCACAGTTTCTGGAAGAGATGAGAGCTCAAAGGTCTCTACGAGTCTTCTCTATCTCTTTGAGGTACTCTGCATCAACGTTCACTGCCATTGTCAAGATTTGAAAGAGCAAGCAAAATAACTCAGATCAATGAATAAGATTGAAGAATGACTCAGAAGGATGAATATATATAAAAAGGATTGAAGAAGAGTCTAAAGGAGAAGAATGTTTTGTCATATGAGAAAGCAAAGTATTAATTATAGTTTTGGGAGAACCCTTTTGCTAATCTTCGCATATATTCAATTTTCATCTATGCAACTATATAGTTTATTGTAAAGTTGTAATTACCATCCCGTAGCTACCAGTTCTGGAACCAGGGGTCATAAACTATTTCCAAAGAAGATTCTACCTAACACTAAACTACCTTGGTTGTTGAAGATCAATTTGATTTAAATGATTTGGTTATTGTATTAACAAATAAAATCAAATATAAGTTTTAGACATTTTCAGTGTTGAACAAGATATGACATTCTGATCCTTAAAAGATTACCCTTGCATCATTTGGACTGTACGCTATCACCGCCTCCATCGAAACAGATCCATATCAAAACCTAGCAGCGGCGGTGGTGGTAACATCGCCAATCAAAGGAGATAGATCGTTGAGAGCTGCGGCGGCGGCATCAAGACGGACGGTGGCTGTACGGATGTTGTTAAGACTATTTTGAAGGAGATTCACTTCCAGATCCGCTTGCTCCTTTAACGCCTTCAGCTGATCGATTCCCATCTTCTCCATCTCTCCTCTCGATGATGACGACGCCATTTTCTCTCTCTCTCTCACACAGTCGCGTCCTCGAGTCTGCGAATCGCTCAATCTCTTTTGGTCGAAAGCTTGGAGACGAAGTGTGTGTGGCCCGTTAAGTGGAGTTCAGCGTCAGAGTTGAAGTCCTCAAGGCCCATGTTGGCCCATTTGAGCCGTTTCTAACATTTTCGAGGCCTTAAATGATGATTAAAGAAAATAGTGTATGTCATATTTTGATAAACATAAAAGATTTAATATCCATTTTCATTCAAATTTTATATTAATATTTTAAAATTTCCGCATTTAATCAGGTCGTTTTTTTATTCTGACCCAAAATTGAGTCATTCGGATATTTCTTTAATTTTTAAATTTATCTAAAACGGGACAGTATACCACATGTGAAATCCTAAAATTAACAACTCAAAATACAATTATTTAGTATTTTAAGATAGAATTATAAATTGTTTTTTACGGGTTGGTCCAAAAACACACACTAATTTATATATATTATGGAAACCATTTGAAAGCAAACTTTTAAATTGACTCGAATTATATATCTTTTAAATAAAAGTGTTATTAAAAAAATAACAAAATGTTGTTTAATTTCACAGGACGGGATTATATGGTGGACGGGTTTGGGTTGATATTAATACGGGACAATATATCACGGCTGAAATCCTAGAACTAACAAATCAAAATACAATTATACAATCTTAAACACTAAACAAAATAAATATAATTTAAAAATTTTATTTTTTAGTTACAACGCATGTGATCCGCGGTGTACAACAAAAAAATATTATATACAACAAATTCATCAATTTATAAAAAGATAAAAAAATCAAATAATTAACCCGCGGTATACCGCGTGTCGAATATTTTTATTAGATCAAAATTTACTGAAGAATGCGTGAACTTTAAAATTACTGCTATCCTTTACATCTAAATAACTCATATAATGCGTGATAATTAAAATCTGAGAATTATATTACCAATGCAAACAGATTGACATTTAACATATAAAAGCCAAGTACACATATAGGAGCTCTTCATCTTACTATAGAAACCAGCCGTATGTTTACACATTATCGAACTTTAAAAATATTAAATAATTTTTAGATATGTAGTATCAATTATAATAGTAATATAAAGGGAAATAATTTTCATGTAACACATATGTAATGATTAAAACATGATATAATGGTTAATATCGGAAACTTATAACACAATCAAAATTCCAACCATCATACTGAAATATATATATCACCACAAAAAAACAAACAAAATAAAATACAACCAATTATTATTTTCTTATAAATAACAAATAATAAAAATATTCGACCCGCGGTGTACCGCGGGTAACATCCTAGTATCTACAACAAAAAAGGAAGATTGATATATTTTTTAAGAAGCGAATCTTTATCATAACAATTAATAATTTAAAATTGTCTTGTTCAATATTATACATATTAATTTTAAGTAATGTTTCAATTTATTTTAAGATAAAGATGGAATAATAACATAACGATTTAGATTTACTACTATATTTTACATTTGTTTAGATTCTCCATCATTATCGACATAAAATATTAAAAAACTAAATTTTATTAGAGATATGAATCAGATTTAAAGAATATACGTAGGATTGTTTTGATATTTTTTGCCAATATCTACTTATCAAAAAAGAAAATTTTAATTTTTAACTCATAATTATCACAAACGATTGGTTGGGAAAGAAAAAAAAAAAACAAAAAAAAACGGAAAACAAAACGAAAAAAAAAGAAAAAAAGGAAGACACACGACCATTCTCCGTCTCCTTCTACGAAATCCCACGTTTTTCATTATGATCAATGGAGATTAATACACTTTCATCGAGTCTATATTCATTATTCGTGCATGATCCAATCAGATAATCCAAGGTAATTTTAAAGAACACCCTCTTTTATTAGCTCGAACTGTATGATGCAGGATAGCATCAATAATTCAATATGATGGTTTGAAGACTTGGCATGGACAAGATATTAAGAGTCGTCTTTCCATCATGTCAGATTCGATCAAAAGGTGATGTTCTATCACTAAATTGTCGATTCTCTCTGGTTATATGCTATATTTTAGGTTTTCAAGTCCGGTATGTATATTAAAAAGTTTACATGCGACGAAGAACATGATGAGGTACGATGAACATCTTCTAAAGTGGTACGTAAATTACAATCGATCCATTTTTTTTAGGTTTTCTTATTTTTTCTTGTTTACGAATATTATTAATTTTAAAAAATGTAAATTATATCAAATATTCACTTATTAGAGTTATTTATGTAATTGAACATTAGTTGATATTCGACTTGATTTAATAGAGGGTATTTAAGTAATTACGTAAAATCAAGGACTCAACAAGAGCCGAGAGTCCGACACGTCAGCAAAAACACTTCTCAAATATTGTTATTTATAGAACGACCATTCTCCGTCTCCTTCTACGAAATCCCACGTTTTTCATTATGATCAATGGAGATTAATACACTTTCATCGAGTCTATATTCATTATTCGTGCATGATCCAATCAGATAATCCAAGGTAATTTTAAAGAACACCCTCTTTTATTAGCTCGAACTGTATGATGCAGGATAGCATCAATAATTCAATATGATGGTTTGAAGACTTGGCATGGACAAGATATTAAGAGTCGTCTTTCCATCATGTCAGATTCGATCAAAAGGTGATGTTCTATCACTAAATTGTCGATTCTCTCTGGTTATATGCTATATTTTAGGTTTTCAAGTCCGGTATGTATATTAAAAAGTTTACATGCGACGAAGAACATGATGAGGTACGATGAACATCTTCTAAAGTGGTACGTAAATTACAATCGATCCATTTTTTTTTAGGTTTTCTTATTTTTTCTTGTTTACGAATATTATTAATTTTAAAAATGTAAATTATATCAAATATTCACTTATTAGGGTTATTTATGTAATTGAACATTAGTTGATATTCGACTTGATTTAATAGAGGGTATTTAAGTAATTACGTAAAATCAAGGACTCAACAAGAGCCGAGAGTCCGACACGTCAGCAAAAACACTTCTCAAATATTGTTATTTATAGATCAGAGAGTTCCAACATATTTTTCTTAAAGTTTTATTTATTCTTTGGTAATTAAAAAAATTAGCTCTTTGTGTCTAAAGTTTTATATTTGATTTCTAGGATCAATAAAAATTAGTTATATATATATATTGATGTAATCTCATGAGGGAATGGTAAAAATAAAGAGAGAAAAATAACCTTGGCATATCTCAGATAGGCAGAAATGAGCTGTTCCGGCTTCAGACGATCCTGAGTTGACTACAAAACGTGAATGCAGTCACTTTTATTGCATATTATTACTATCAAGCCATATTACATTCCTATAAAATTAGTTGTTGATTAAAAAGTGTAGTCATCTTTGCCTTTAATTGTTTAGAAATATATTAATTACTTAGCTTTAGCTAGTTCCATTGCGGTATTCTGCTTTTGATCACCTTCAAAAAACTTCTATGGCTTCCACTTCTTTTTTTGTATGCTTCAATTAACTAGAACTGCATTCACGTCTCTACGATGTCAAAGTTTCCAAGAATAAGAGTAAGTATTACATACCTGATACCTCACAATGTGGCATGATATTAGATTTCCGATAAACGCCAGCTGAAAAACAGTCGATTTACCTATAACATTAACGAAAGATTATAATTTTGACTATTTCTGGAGAGCTATAAACCAAATGAACAAGCTACGCCTAGGTAGTAGATGTTCTGTATAACTTACTGCTCCAGTTTAGGCAATGCGTCTATTATGGTCTCAACTTCTTCGGCCTTTTTCCTTGCGAAAAAAAAAATAGAGAAGATGTCAAAGGCAAAAAGACTGTATATTCTTGAATTTACACGCAGAGTAAAGAGACTATTTGTTACTTTTGATATCATAAACAACTTTGAAGCCTTCTGCTGAAAGACTTGCCTTCACAAAGTCATACTCTTTTCTGTCTCCTATACTCTCCTTAGTGAAGAATCTAGAAAACACAAAAATCATTCATTTTTATTAGAATCTTAATTGATCATCAAGTTACTCTTGCTCATATATTATGTTTTCCTTAATTATCCGAAACCATATACATTATATTGGTGTGCACATAGCCACATACTTTCACAAGGAATCATGTGTTACCTTGTTATAAAATCAGCAAAGTCTTCGTCAGATCTACAGAGTAATTGCTTTCGTTTGGCTCATGCCTTACTCTATCCTCATCCTTTATATCCTTCCATTCATGTATATATATCCTTGTTCTTCTTTGACATCTATTACAAGTTCAAGAATATGCATTCAAGTTAGAAACTATTTTTTAACTTCTGTTGCTTAATACAATTCATATGGGACCAGACCTATTTGTGGGGAGCCTATTGTTCTGCACAGAAGTTCTTCCACTCCTCTGCGGTTATCTTCGTAACCTATACTCACCAGTCATCCGCAAAATGAGCTTCAAGAGTTCAAATAACAGAAGAAAATAGACTATAGAAATTGATTTTAATTTTCTTACCTCCAAAAAGCTCTTGTTATCTTCTCATAAAGCAGCTCTCCTCTCGTTTGCATATTAAGTGAGGGTTGTTTACGCTTCAAGGGATCCTTTAGCTTCCTACAAAATAGAATGCAGTCAGTTTTCTTGTTTATTAATACTATCAAAACAGTTCTCAAGTGAAATAGTGGGATGTAGTTTAATTTTAGTTGTTGTCCTGATCAGCTTCCTGAACAAAGTGCAAATAATGCAAGTGTTTCACTAAAGTGCTTTATCAGCCACAAAAACATTAAATTTGTGCACCTGTGGTTCTTGATTGCTCAACATGGATTCGTACAGGACGCACAGTCAATTCTGGCATTTCCTCTCAAGGAAGACTGAGTAATGCAAGAGTCTATGAATGGAATGTGCCCAGTTTTTTCTTTGCTGCATGACGTAAACCACATAAACTAGTAATAGAAAAAACGAGACATGTTCATAGAAACTAACTAGAGGTAAATGAAGAACAATACAACAAACTAACATAACCATGGTAAAAAGATGAT